GACCAGGCTGGCAGGGGAGGGCAGTTAGGGGTGACCGGGCTGGTAGGAGAGGGCAGTTATAGGGATCAAGCCGATAGGGGTGGGCATTTAGGTGGATCAGGTCAGCAGGGGAGGGCATTTAGGGGGATCAGGCCAGCAGGGGAGGGCAGCTAGGGGGATCAGGCTGGCAGGAGAGGGCAGTTAGGGGCAACCAAGCCATCAGGCGAGGATAGTTACTGGTGTCCAGGCCAGCAGGGGAGGACATTTAGGGGTTGACTGGGCCGGCAGGGGAGGACATTTAGGGGGATCAAGCTGGTCGGGGAGGGCTGTTATGCGGATCAGGCCAGCAGGGGAGGGCAGTTAAGGGCATCAGGCAGGTAAGGACAGTGGTTAGGGCAGACATGCAGATGTACAGTTAGGAGCCAGAGGTCCCGGCTTGCGAGAGGTATGGCCGACTACCCTTTTTAGGCCTGAATCCAATAGGATTCGGGCCTAAACCAGCAATCAGATATCCCCCAAGGGGACACAGATTGGAGAGGGTACAGGTCAGGCTTAGGGATCCCCTCCCCCACCCCCTGCACAAATTTCATGCACCAGGCCTCTACTTTTATAATATTTGCTTCCAATTGCAACTCTTATTCACTCAGAGGGGAGAGACTTGTCGGTTGCTCATGGGTCATTCCTCAGATGGCCACGAGGAGGTGACCTGGGTTTGTCACCACTTGATGCCTTTTCACGGAATATTAGAAGCCTTAACTTTGTTGCTGTGGTGTTTTGTGTCTCTCTGTGTGTGTGTGCGCTGCTTCCATGGATTTACTTTTTCTATGTCTGACACCTAATTTATTATTTAAAAGCATCCTGAGATAAATCCTCTGGGTCTTCCCAGATCCCCTGAGGAGCTTTTAGAAATGCTTTCAGGTGGGCTTTCCCCCATGGAGTTGGACAGCTGCTCTGGGTGGGGCATCATTGCTTACTGAGGGCCTCCAGGTGATGGAAGGTGAGGACAGGGATTAGCATGAGGGTTGCAGGATGCCTTTGTGTGAGTGGGGAGCAAGTTTTGTTCAGGGGAGGTAAGGGGGTGCTCTGTTTGGGGCATCGGGACAGCAGCTCACATTCTCATTTCTGTAGGATTTGGGGGAGATTCATAACAGTAGCAACATTACAGTTATGAAGTAGCAATGAAAATAGTGTTATAGTTGGGTCACCAATGAGGAACTGTATTTAAAGGGCCAGAAGATTGAGAACTACTGTGCTAGGTCATGGGTTTATGCTCAATCACTGAGCCATACTGGGCAGCCTTTATTTATTGATTTCAGAGACAGGAAGGGAAACAGAGAAAGAGAGGGAAACTGATCTGCTGTTCTACCCATCTAAGCATTTATTGGCTGTCCCCTACATGTGCCCTAGAAAACCCATAGCCGTGGTGCATTGGGACCACACACTCAACAAGAGAGCTACATGGCTAGGGCTCTGAATTTGTTTATTAATTTCAGAAGCTCATATGGCATCTTGACAGATTTGTCTATGGAGGGTCATGTTGTCTCTAACCATTAACATCTATTTATTTATTTATTTTCCAAATATATTTTATTGATTTTTTACATAGAGGAAGGGTGAGGGATAGAGAGTTAGAAACATCGATGAGAGAGAAATATCGATCAGCTGACTCCTGCACACTTCCTACTGGGGATGTATCCACAACCCAGGTATATGCCCTGGACCAGAATCAAACCGGGGACCCTTCAGTCCACAGGCAGACACTCTATCCACTGTGCCAAACCAGTCAGGGCCTTTTTCCTTTTTTCTTTTGATAGTCAGTGTCAGCAGTTTCTATTGTTATGGATTCACTCAGCGAGATAGACCACCGACTCAGAATTTAAATTTAGGAGCTTTATTAAGCTGGCCTGTGACTACAGCTACAGCACCCTGCCGAAGCAGAGGCTGAACTGCAGCGCCGACTTCCATGGCCAGCAACTACAGTTATAGCACCCTGCCGAAGCAGAGGTTGAACTGCAGCGCTGACTGCAAGAGTTACAGTTTATTATTAAACTAGAGGCCCAGTGCACAAAAATTCATGCACTTGCATAGTCCTTCAGCCCAGCCTGCACCCTCTCGCAGTCCGGGACCCCTCAGGGGATGTCCACCTGCACGCTTAGGCCCCA